ATATCGTTTGTACTGTCTTTCTATGACAGCAGTTGTAGCAGAAAGACAGACAGACATCATACTGACAAAAGAATCTTTGTCCGATGGAAACTCTAGGAGTCTGGCTAATGTTGAGTCACACTTGTCAAGAGTGCCACCAAAAAAATCGGTATCACGAGTGAGGACACTGATTGGATCCTGTTGAGCTTCTTTGAGGGATGACAGAACATTTTTGACAATACTTATTCCTTCCAGGTGATCAACTTGCTTTTCGACGGAAGTGTAAAACTTCTTCATCCAAGGGCCTGATAATAGTTTTCCATTCAAGCCGAGGACCTGGATTTCCAACTTGGCAGTTGGGTTAATGAAGTCTTTGTGCAAGCCTGACAGCAATCCACCACATGAGACGGTCCCAGTTCTCAAAAACTTCTCAAACAGTTCATAATGCTCTATGTATTTGCCACATAGGTGAAAAAGTACATGGAGACGATTCCCGCGATAACGGGGTAACAAGCCACGGGGCAAATTGACATCTTCAAGAAAAGTAGTGAAACCCTTTGGGTCTCCTTTCCCATCCTTATAACGAAGTTTGTTCATTTGGAGGACAATGTTTGCTGCCATACAGTCTTTACCAAATACATGTCCCTTAGAAGTCTCCAATGTCTTCAATGCAGCCCGACATGAACTGGCAATGGTGTCGATGGGATGAAGGTGGCAGTTAAGCTCATTAAGAGGTTTGCCCCACGACTCTGAAATTCTCTGGATTGCAGCGTGGTTTACAACTGCGCGGTCTGTCATAACATTTGAAATGTTGCTGATAATAGATTTACGGCAGTCTTGGTAATCACAGGAATATAAAACTGAATAAACATTAGCCAGTTCATCAATAGAACTTGTCACATGTTCAGCATAGTCTTCTGCAGTGCCACCGGGTAACTGATCGATGGCTACTACAAAGCACTTTGTTTTAGTTGTAAGATGTATGCTATTTATATGAACACCTTCCTGTGTTGTTGAGTCAAATCCTAATGTAAGGTTCTCGGTAGTCATTGCCACTTCAGCGGTTTGTAGGTCCGATATCACACCAAGCTCTCGGGCCATCTGCTCGACAGTATTTCTGTGGGGAACAGCAGTAATCTCTACTCCAAATCGCATAGCAAACCTTCTGATGAGTACTGGTATATTCTTAGTAGGAACTTGGTTGATTATTGAATCATACACCATCTGTCTCATATCTAATGAGAAGGTTTTCTCATCTTTCTTAGTTTTTTTCTCCACAACAGACGCTTCATTAGTAATGGATTCTTTAAGACAGAGTGTTTCATTCTCTAAGTACCTTATCTCGTCATCTTTCTCAGTTAACAAGTTTGAGAGTCTAGTATGGTCATTCTCATTACGTTTTTTACTAATGGTAGTAAGACGCCTGTTCTTGTTGGACTGCTTCAATCTCCGGTGCTTCTTTATCAGTCTGGCCAACTTAAATTTAGTTTCCTCTAGTTCAATAGCCCATTTTGTGGTTTTCAGTTTATGTCGAATACTCCTAATTGTAGATTTTTTCCTCTCTATGATTTCATCTTTCCTTTTAAGACACTGGTTCAGGTACTTCACACTCTTATGCGGTCTCAGCTGCTTTCTTAACAACTTCATCTCTATAGCATGCTTTTGCTTCATTTCACTTCTAGATTTTGCCATGAATTCCAGTCTTCTCCTCATTTTGAGTTTTCGTGGAGTCAAGACATCTCCCCTTAGCTGTGGAAGGGTGATCGATTCAGGGCTCAAGGCTGAGGGTGAAGGTGTATTCTCAACTGATGATGTAGGTTCTAACTGTGGAGAGGTGGGTTTGTCACTCATAGAGGTAGGAGGATCAGTCTTGGAACTAGTGGAATGATGTACAGGGAAAACTTCATTGCAGATCTCCTTAAATTTGTCCATCTCTGCATCACGAGAGAGGTTCTTAAATCTGTGTAATGATCTGGACACAAGGGACACAACTTGATGCTGTAGAATTGAGATTCCAGGAATTTTGTTGCTTACATCCCGGACAACATTTGTCCAAGAATGGTCATTAGAGATGAATGAGAGTAACACGTGACCATTCTTTAGCTCCTCATGATTAGCTGGTACAGCAGTGAAATGTTCCATCAAATACTGACGAGACAGGCCAGGCTGAGGAGAAAACGATCCCCGCTTTGACTTTTTCTTAGGTGGCATGATGGTATAACTTAGGGGGAAAAAAGAAGTTATTTAATTTATATCCAATTTAATTCATGAATATTGAATGTAGTTCCAAAATCGCTCATCTAGAAGAAATTTCTATTTTGTTGTTGTGGAAATATAAATATGCAAACACTAGGGGTGGAACGGTACATCGGATCGGTGTGTGTGTGTGTGTGAGAGTGTGTGTGTGTGTGAGTGGGTGAGTGTGTGTGTGTGTGAGTGAGTGAGTGAGTGGGTGTGTGTGTGTGTGTGTGTGTGTGTGTGTGTGTGGGTGTGGGTGTGTGTGTGTGTGTGTGTGTGTGTGTGTGTGTGTGGGTGCGTGAGTGAGTGTGAGTGTGTGTGTGTGTGTGTGTGTGTGTGTGTGTGTGTGTGTGTGTGTGTGTGTATGTGTGTGTGTGTGTGTGTGTGTGAGGTGAGTGGGTGAGATAAATGCCTAATACATTTTTGTTTTGCACCAAAATCGTACCGAACCATGATGTCTGAACCGTACCGTGACTTCTGTGTACCGTTCCACCACTAGTAAACACCACAGGACCTACTCCAGTTTTTCAGTATAATTTAAAATAAATATATATTAAGATTACTATTCCATAATTCTATTTATTTCAGTGAAAAACGACTCACCTTGGATGATATGGACGTAAAGTTATTTTCCCACCACTGGCATCGTTTCATCAAGAAGTAAAAATATTAGTAAAAATACCTACAAAATAGACAATTATTTATTTCTCATAAGTAATATTAATTGATGATTATGTTATTTATCATTTACAATTTATCATTTACAAATCAATAAATGCATCGCATGTATGTTGAATTTTGTTTAAGAATAAACATCAGTAGGCCAAAGAAATTCATTCTCACAACACACAGCTATGAGGCCTTCAAGTACTACAGAGATTTGGTTGTTTTTTCTGCTTTGATTTACTTTTGAAAAAAAAAGAAGACATTTCAGTAATTGTGCAAATAATTAAATTTTACCAACTCTGTGCAGAATAATACAGCACACATGGGCTGAAATGTTTGTAAGATTCGGCCAATCAGCTTGCTAGAAACGGGTCACATGACCTGGCAGGCAGCCAGAAGCACAGTTGTTCCTAAACAAATCTATAACCATCCATGGCATTTATTTATATATTTGACGAAATCATGCCAATAATGTAATCTAGAAATTCTAAACCTTCGTTTTGTATGATTACTTTGAAAAATACTGCACGGATCAATGAAAACTGGGAGAAGTTTTGGAAGCCAATATGATCGAATGGCCGATTCTGCTTTTGACAACAACGTCACTTGCGGATCGTAAAAAAACACATGCGAATGTTACAATTAAATTCCAAACTTCACCTCATTCAAGTTAAATGTATAATCTATCAAAAGTATTGGGTTTGAAACAAAAAAATACTCACCTTCATAGCGGATTTTGATGCCAAACTTGAGAGAAATTTTGCTTTGCTTATAACTTTCTTCTTACTACAGCCATCTTGGAAATTTGAACGTGAGAATCAACGTGATGACGTAATTTACGTCACTAGTATATGGGCTTTAGAGGTATTCACAAAGCAAAGATACGACATATTTCCTAAGTCACCAACGCGTCTGGCGCTGATTACCTTCTGGGAACACAGCCGCGGGAACAAAGCGCTCGTGCGTATATAGGTCAGTTTGTCACATACCTATTCATTGCCACGTTCACATGTATATTTTTACTCATTGACTAGGTTCAATAGAAACACATGGCTCAGACTACCTAGTAATCTTCACTACTGATCAATGTAAGATTAAAATTTCCACAACAACATTCAGATTCAACATGTTATATGTTTCTTCTTTGGTTGTACACACACACACACACACACACACACATATATCTATACTTGTTTATACTTACAAGTGTGTGTATATATATTATAACACACACACACACATATATTTATATAGGCCTATGTGTGTGTATTTATATATTAATTAAATTAAATGTGTAGTCTATATAAAAGCATCTAAATCGATTAAAATATTGAAATCAACCTGGTTCAGTAAATGCATTTAAATAGGCTTACTTACCGTAAACAAATTGCCAGCCGTTCACCGGGGGAAATGGCTTGTCGGAAATGTGTATTGTCCTTTGCAATCAGGGGACCAACCCTCCGCAGCAGCTGTCCAGCCTGAAGTACTGCTGGAACCGGACTTCATCCAGCCGCAGCTCCTGCACCAGCTGGTGGTACTCGCCGTGCTGACTCTGAGCCCGAATGGTTTCATGAACCCAGATAGACCGGCGTTTGCGCTTTTGCCGTAGATACACGGACACAATGACAAAAATCGCCTTTTGTTTATCGTTCATTTTCATGCTTCACTTCAGCCTTTTTTTAAATAGTGAGTATATTTATATTTAGTATCTTCCCTCCAGAATATTTGTTTTTAGCGGCAAGAAAACTGATTCGCTGTCATTGGATGTCATTCATAAACATAACTAGGGAACAAGTAGTGGGAACGCCCACTAGCGACCTCATCGCCAGCCACTGGCGACATGCAGGGACAAAGTCGCTTGTAGTGTGAACAGGGAGTCAGACGGGGAATCAATTTAATTTAAATTGAGCAGCAATGCACTGTGGTTAAAGGAACAAGACAATTTAAGTTAAAGCGTACAGGACACTCCGTAAATGTTCCTTAAGAGTGGAGAAAAGTGATAAGCTATAGCTAAGCAAATATAATTTTATAATTAAAGACATACAGGTAGGATCCAGTGAATTACACACAGCATTTATTTAGGGGAATGTTCAACAAACATATACATAACATAACAGCAGTCCCAATGGTACCACCTTCCACATTCTGTATATTCAATCTAAGGAAGGACGAACAAACATTAGAATAAGTTAATTGTTAAGTGAGTGGTTTGCAATGTATATTTATACTGTAAATTGTTCTTACCCATTGGACAGTTTGGCCTTTGTGCCTATGATGCTCTCCACACGAACGACAGAGCTGTGAAAGGTCATCTATAATATGTAAAGGGGGGTCATGTCATGTCCAGAAAACTTTATAAATAAAGATAGTCAAGGCTATAAAAATGTAAATGATTATTTCTCACCAGTTTCTCTTAAAAGCCTTTTTTTTACAATTTCCAGGCGCATTAAAACGCCTTCCTCATTTGAAAACGTTATTTCTTCCATAAGAAGCAGCTCTGCTAGCTGATGTGAGCAGTTATGCCATACATGAATTAGGTTTTATCAATAAAGACTGTCAAAATTCATACAAGTACATATAGCTTACTTTGCAAACAAATGCACCACATGATGTGGAATCCTGTTGGGTAGGATGCACAACTGAGTGGCATCCCCACCTGGAAATGTTCAGACCTTTCATCCTAAGGAAAGATATATTAAATAGAAGTGTGTGCAAGTGCACTCATCATTAAGCCGCAATACATAATATACAACAGATACCTCAATGTTTTAAGAAACTTTGCATACAATACTTGCCTTGTAGCATCCTTACATTTGGAAATTGCTGATTCATTAGCACCAAAAAGGTCGATATATATTGATTTGGACAATTTTGGGAACATTGCCTGAACCCCCCCTCCCTCCCTAGGAAATCTAGAAAGTTACTTACTATAAATGTCCAATGGTTGTCGTTGACACAAACAGCCCCGAAAAGAACATCATAGTTGGATGGATCAAGCTACAAACAATACAAATAGCAGTTTTAAAACCTGTCAATATACTAAAACACTTTGAAGTTTGTGTTTAAATGCAAAAACCTTTTTCAAGCCATTTTGGCTTCCATTCCAGATTGCAGTCATCTGGTATGAATCGATTAAATATGCCCGTTTTATTCCTGACATATTTAATCAGTTTTTAAGATGGTGTAGATAACCATTCACAACCTATTTACAAAAATAATCAAAATAAGGGCTATTGGATTGTTAAAACAAGGTACCAAAAAAACAATATTTAACCAAAATAAGAATATTGCTTATTCTGTGTACAGCGCTTTAAGAAGCTGCTTTTAAAGGCGCTTTATAAAATAAAGTTTATTGTTATTATTCTTAAAGTTTATTAAAAAAAAAGGTAAGCAATTTTGGTATATTAAGCATAAGCTGTTTACGCAGTCAAAGTTGTTAAAATTTGATGATCTTGTAAAATATAATACATCAATAGTCTTATATACAGCATTTAACAACTTATTACCGCCTAACTTACGTTTTTTTCAAATTCCAGTGCGAGCTCATAACTTGAGAGGCTTTGGATATTTTTCATTACCAAGAGCCCAAACCACTCGTAAACATTATTGTGTGTCTGTATGCGGAGTGAAACTCTGGAACAAACTGGACTTGCAACAAAAGCAATGTCAAACTATTCATCAATTTAAACTGTTATATAAACATTGGGTCTGGTTAAAATACAGAGATGAGGATCTTTAATTTACATTGCTGTTGTACTCTGTCTTATAGTGTTAACATGTGCTCAATGTTTCCTTACCATCGTTGGCATATTGTCCATTACCATCTTTAGCATATTCCCTATTACCATCGTTGGCATATTGTCCATTACCATCGTTGGTATATAGTCCATTACCATTCTTGGCATATTGTCCATTACCATCGTTGGCATATTGTCCATTACCATCGTTGGTATATTGTCCATTACCATTGTTGGTATATTGTCCATTTCCATTGTTGGCATTGTTTATTCTTCTTAAATTGTTGGTACTGTTGTTATAATAAATACTTGTTACTGTGGTAACACCTGCATGATACAACATATGTAAACAATCCGTGACCAAAGTAACAATGAAGCTCAATGTATTAATCACCAAATGGGGAACTGGGGTGGGATTAAATAAGTTGTCTTCTTCCCACTCCCTTTCAGGCAGAATTCGATTGTCAGTTAAATACTGTATGTTCTGTTTTTGTTTTTTTGTTTCTTTTTTGCACTGTATGACCTAACAATATTTTGTCTGCCTTGTACTTTCTGTGCCATTGCCTGAAATAAAATGAATATTATAAGGTAACCATGCACAATTTGAGAATGCAACCCTACCTCACTTTCTAACCATTTGCCTGGTGCCAGACCCATCAGGTTTTTGGTGAACAATTTGTAGAGGCCCATTTTGCTCCACAGCGCATTCTGTTTCTTGCCCTCCCATATATCATGTATCACTAAAATAAGCTCAATGAATACAAAGTAAAATTCCGAGCAATGGCACTGTGAAATATAACCAAACCACTTCATTATTACCTTGTTCTTCCGGATATTTTGACCCAGTGAAGGTGTCTGGGGAGCAAGAGTGAGTAGTTGGTCGGCCTGGGTTGATTTGTGTTTGTGCCTTTGTTGCAGGGTGAGGAGGATTGGCTGGTGATGGAGGTGTTGCAGGGTGAGGAGGATTGGCTGGTGATGGAGGTGTTGCAGGGTGAGGAGGATTGGCTGGTGATGGAGGTGTTGCAGGGTGAGGAGGATTGGCTGGTGATGGAGGTGTTGCAGGGTGAGGAGGATTGGCTGGTGATAGAGGTGTTGCAGGGTGAGGAGGATTGGCTGGTGATGGAGGTGTTGCAGGGTGAGGAGGATTGGCTGGTGGCTTCTATTTTAGTGATAGTAAATGGACCCAGCATGTCTGGGTCCATTTTTCCACCCTCTCTGTTCTCCTGTCTCACATTCCTAACCAACACTTTATCCCCAGCCATGAAGTTGTCCTCCTGCCCTTTTTCCATCTTTCGCTTCCGTACTTTCTCCTGACTCTTTGCGATGTTCTGTTTTACAACTTCCATTGTCTCCCTCCTATCGCTCAACCCCTCAGACAGCTGCTCACTTGCAACCATGGCTTCCACCTTTCCATGACAGATCTAAGTAAGACATTCACAATAATTATTCACATTTTTCAAGATCAAGTGTCAGTAGAAAAAAAAAGACACAAACCACTAACCTCATAATCCTTTGGTACCTGACATGGATATCGTGCCTCTCTCCCAAACATTAAATAGTATGGGGAAAACTTTGTTGTTAATTGTTTTTTTGTTCTTAGTGCGAACATTGTTGCATTTGGATGCAGGTGCCATGTTGATGGATTTTCCCAAACCATTTTTGTCAGGCTTCTGGACATTAACAATCAAAAAGAAAATCATGAAATGTTAAACTACAGAACATGTGCCTACACACATGTGAATTACCTTTGAATTGTGCCATTCATTCTCTCAACAAGGCCATTTGTCTGGGGATGATAGGGAGAACACAGACTCCTGGTGATGCCCAGTCCCTCACACAGGCTAAAATTGACCTTTGAAAAAATAAAACATTTTCAGATATATCTTATGGCCATATCTATTTATTTTGACTTGATTTTTATTAACCAACCTTGTTGACAAACTATCTTCCCTGATCTGTTAAAAGACGCTGCGGTGCTCCAAATTTGTACAAAATAATATAAAAAATAAAATCCAGGATGCACCCCATGACCTCTTCTGCTTTTTTTTTTGTTTTTAAAGGATAGGCTTCAGACCACTTATGCTGGGTACACACCAAAAGATTTTTACATCTTATAAGATTTTCAAAATGTGATAGACCACAAACATGAGTACAAGAAATCCTAGATTTAAGCGTTTTGCTCCTATAGTGTGTGGTGTGCCATGATGTGACAAAGACAGCACTCCACACACGAACAGATTTTCAACCAGAGTCTCGACTGTGAACAAAGGAAATCTCACAAAATCTCGCGAGACTTCAGAATAAGCTTGGCGGATGATATGCAGGAAGAAATTGCGATGATAGTATTTGGAATGATTTTCACAGAAAAACATTTGTGCTGTTGCCACAAATCAACAAGCTGATCCTCCATCTCTGCTGTCCACATGAATTTAACTTTTTGCAACGCCATGACTGCGTTTGTTATGCTTCCGTCTTCCATCATCTCGCTTTCTGATTGGATATTGTTTCGTTTCACGTGATAATCTCCACAGCATGCGCACGTTTGTCATCGGGGTTCCCCCCACACATCAGGATTTCTGATCGTAAATATTCAACATGTTGAATATTTACGATTCGCGATCGGGGCGGCTCCGACGTTCTTCCGAGCAGGTTCGGACACTCTTAACACACCTCACACCAAGGGATAATCTGTAGAACCATCAAGATAATCGGGACATAGCTAGGATAGTCGGAAGGGGGAAAAATATTATTAGTAAAATAGTCAACCATGACGCATATATATTGGTGGCCATTTTCTGTTGGAGATCAGATCCATACCAATTAATTACAGTGGTTCTGTGACCTTAAATGAAAATCAATGTTTTAAACATTCAGGACTAAGGCTATTAGAAATTTGTTATATTTGCATTTTTATACATACAACTATAGGATTGTAAGCCGCCTTCTCCTTTATTGTATTTTTCCTACCCTGACACTGAGGACACTGAGCTATCTGAAAGAAGAGAGGTGGGCCATGACCATTTTAATTGAGTTAGATGTAGTAAATTTTTTTTTTTTTTTTTTTTTTTTTACAATTAACTTGTAAACGGAACGGATGTCCTGTTCCATGCCAGGCCAGTAAAATCTAAGTATTATGGCATTGTGGGTTTTCTCAACTCCACAATGTCCACCAAGAGGGCCTGCATGGAATTCCCTAAAGACATTGTGCGCCTCCTCAGGTGAAAGGACAAATTTAGCCTAATGCTGACTCTTGTCCTTTTTTCTCCTGCAGATGTAATGCAGCTCTCCATCTAATGTAATAATGTTATATTAGTAAATATAGTATGTAGTACACAACATAAAAGCATAGACAGTACATGATCATTACCTTTCATTGTGAAATTTTCACATCTTCTCTTTATATAATAGTGCTTCTTTCCTGAGCAGCTATCAGGATATTGCTTATCATGCAAAAAGTTTTTGATTTCTCTAACTTTAATTGCATCCATTTGCTGTGGCAGTATATGGCCTAACAACAACACTAGTTACAATAATGACACCTAATTTATAGACCTTTTCATCTGTTCCTAATTGTTAGCAGACGACAACAATGAAAGTTAATGATGAGATGAATTAGGAAAGTTAATATGTTAATGAGTTTATGGTACCAGTCAAATGAAGAGAAATGGCATAATTCAAAAATTTAAAAAGAGGCCCACATCC